TATATTTTAAAAAATTTTACAAAAATTGATGACGTATTCTCATCTTGTATCAACGAGCCATCTTATTAATAATATTAGTCTTTTAGAAACCGGTATATTTTCGGTAATCTTTACCATCATTACCTAATTAACCTAAATCTAGTTATTTTTTTCACCCCCAGATTTAGGTTGGTCACTAAAAGTCACCAGATCTAGTAACTTTTCCAATACCAACCTATATCTAGTTACATTTTGCCCTCCAGATTTAAGTTGGTCACTTTCCCTATCTTATAACATTGGAGCGTGACGTCACATAATCCATAATTCTGTGCCAGAATTCTCATTACTATACTACTAGAGTACGTTGTGGCGTGCCTGCTTCAGATGCAATTTGCGTTGAAATCGATGCATCTTGATGGATTCGTGCTAATACATTTACTTCTGTATTGCATCCTTAGTTCGTTTACAAAAAGAATCATACTCGCTCATATTATCAGTCTATTAAAAGTAGGTACGATCAAAATATTATTCAAAATACTGTTCTGCAACTTGTATTGTATTTTTATAGCATAAAATGTAACACTCAATGATATCACGCTTTTCTTGATTAAAAAAAATTCATATTGTTTATAATTTACAAAACCTCACTCAACGTTAATTAGAAACTAAACGAAACATGCGTTTGCCTTAAGCTATCATAACCAAGCGTATCTATCAATTGTTTTCATAGCATACTACCTAAACAGTTTGCCAATTAAAAGAATAAATGGCTATAATTTATTTATTAGTAAAAATATCTATGTCAAGTAGTATATCATTAGAAGCGTTGAGAAAAGACCTATTTTATAAAGTCATGTCCAACCAGGGTTGCCACGTTACACACGTAGAATGTCGTGAGTCATGTCATAAAAAATCGTGAGAAATCGTGAGATGTTGAAATTTGTTTATAAATCAGTCCATTTTAATAATATGTGTTACATATAGGCATAGGATTCAAGTAAAATAGTTTAGACAACGTTTGTATATAAAAGTGATATAATTAAAAGGGAATAAAATATTACAGTTTAAGTAATTTGTTACATGTAACTAACAGAGAAATTTACAATAACCTACAATTCCAGTTGAAAATGCTATGATTTTACTTTGATTTTATTAACACTAATTATTATATTATTTTTGTAATAAAGTAATAAAATCGTGAGAAATACATGTCAAATCGTGAGATTAATGGTAATATCATGAGATCTCACGATAAATCGTGAGACCTGGCAACCTTGTGGCCAACTATGTTTCCATTAAAAAAATTATAAGTTTGTAGCATAACTCAAAAATTATTGCTTAAATAAAAAAATAGAGCTAGTATAGAGCTATAACATTCCAAGGCAACATATCCAATAAAATAAAACAGAGTTTAAAACAATATAATATAAATCTTAATTTCAAACCAAATAAAACATTAGAAAGAATGCTTATAAACAATAAGGACAAAATAAATAAACTGGACGACAATGGTGTGTACATACTAGAGTGCGACACTTGTAAAGCAGCGTACATTGGAGAAACAGGCAGAAGCCTTAGAAAAAGAATAAGAGAACATAAACACAAAAATAACTCCAACTTCGGAAATCACTTAACATTTAACTCAAAACATGAATTTAACGAAGATAAAAATTCCAGAATCCTTCATCATATCAATAAAAGTTACTATTTAGAAATAATGGAAAACTATGAAATTAATAAATTCCTCAACAACTGCCCTGATGTAACATGCCTAAACGAACAAATTATACCTACAAGAAGACCACTATATACCTATCTCAAACAACCATACACACCTCCACGAAAACCTCCCGAACTCTAAAAATAGCTGCTCTCTCTGTACCATTATATTTTTCAGTGTGTTTGATGTAGGGAGTTAATATGTTTATGTTGTAATACCTCATTTTAACCTGTTGAAAATCAACCTATTCAAAACAAGAAAGTTTAAATTCAATACACGACAATCACATTTGACAGATTACCAACATTAAAATAGAAAATATACCATTGACAGTTTCAACATAACCTAAAATATAATAAAAAGTGATGTATAGTAGCACATGTTTAGAGATTAACATTTTAATAGTGAATTAATTCAGTAAAGTATCACATACATGTTTAGTTGTTCAAAAAACTGACGTAAGTTAAAATGTAAAATTATATAATAATAGAAAGTGTTGTAAAATTAATAACTTTAGGAACTCCTGAAGATGCTCCGAAAGGAGCGAAACCGGTAGAGTGATAATAAACACATTTCACCTTTAAGTGCAAAATTTGTTTAATTAAATAAAAAAAAACAGTTAGACTGTTTTATTAAACATGTAATACCTTACAAATTTTCGGTTTTTTCGAGATATCTGATTAGTCATGAATTTTATCCAAAAAACAAAAAGCTCATTAAATTGAGTTCATGAAACTGCAATTCGCCCTGTTTAATCGTCTCTCTATCTCCGCCAGTTTTCAAGATCTCTATACTAAACATGGAAAAAAACTCACCCTGTATAGAACTAACAGTATACCTAGAACTAGAATCATTTAATTTAGAGAGTTGAGATTCGATATTCATCGTAAGGATTTAAATTAAAATACCCTGGGGTTCTTTATACGACGAAAAATAGTTTATTAAAACTATAGTTAAAGCTGTAGCACCGATTTGCCAGTTTTAGGCGTACTTTTACCACCTCTTGATAAATTTAACCGATAGATAAATTGGTGCTCTTAGCCAATGAGAGCGCTTAAAACCGCTGTAACCATGGTAATTATCTATCGGTTAAATTTATCTGGAGGTGGTAAAAGTGGGCCTTAATAAACTATTTTTCGTCGTATAAAGAACCCCAGGGTATTTTAATTTAGAATCATTTAGGTTTAGCCGTACGTCTCTTAAAACAGCTAAACCCGAATGATTCTAGTTTCTGATCTAGCGCTGCATAACAATTAAAACTAGAACTAACACTAGTCCTAGAACTAGAAAGTTTAGGTGTGCGTTCTAGTTTTATATTAGCACTGTTACTATATAGAACTAGCACTATACCTAGAACTAGAATCATTTGGGTTTAGCCGCACGTCTCTAAAGACGGCTAAACCCAATTGATTCTAGTTCTAGGTATAGTGTCAGTTCTAGTTTTACACTTGCGTTGTCACTAGAACTAACATTAGAACTAGAATCAATTGGGTTTAGCCGTCTTTAGAGACGTGCGGCTAAACCCAAATGATTCTAGTTCCAGGTATAGTGTCAGTTCTAGTTTTACACTTGCACTGTCACTAGAACTAACATTAGAACTAGAAACATTTGGGTTTAGCCGTACGTGTCTTAAGACGGCTAAACCTGAATGATTCTAGTTCTAGCTATAGTGTTAGTGCTAGTTTTACACTTACACTGTCGCTAGAACTAATATTAGAACTAGAATCAATTGGGTTTAGCCGTCTTTAGAGACGTGCGGCTAAACCCAAATGATTCTAGTTCTAGGTATAGTGTCACTTCTAGTTTTACACTTGCACTGTCACTACAACTAACATTAGAACTAGAAACAATTGGGTTTAGCCGTACGTGTTTTAAGACGGCTAAACCTGAATGATTCTAGTTCCAGGTCTAGTGTTAGTTCTAGTTTTATATTAGCACTGTTACTATATAGAACTAACAGTACGTTCACACACATACTGTTTACAGGACCGTTTTTTGCGGATCCGATTTTATTTCTGCGAAGACGTATATATTTAAATGGGCGCGTTCAAATACATGACAGTATACCGGATCCAGTAAAAAACAATGATCCGTCAAAATGTGTCGTTTCGTTTTGTCAACAAAAACTGGACGTCGAAACAGTAAAAATACGAATCGGCGCTCGATATATTGGCGCCTTCACCTTCTTTTTGTGTAGTGAAAGATGATAGTACCAAAATAACACAAGAACATCCATTCTACGCGACTTTCGGTCGAATAATGATCGACCTCCCAATAGTGTGTGAATATAAATAATAGTCTGATCCTGTAAATACGGAACCGTTGTATTGTGTGTGAACATCACATCCAGTAGTGACGGATCGGAGAAAGAACGGTCCTGTAGTATCGGGCCGCTGTGTGAACGTACCATAACACTATACCTAGAACTAGACTCATTTGGGTTTAGCCACACGTCTCTAAAGACGGCTAAACCCAATTGATTCTAGTTCTAGGTATAGTGTTAGTTCTAGTTTTACACTTGCACTGTCACTAGAACTAACATTAGAACTAGAATCAATTGGGTTTAGCCGTCTGTCTTAAGACGGCTAAACCTGAATGATTCTAGTTCTAGCTATAGTGTTAGTGCTAGTTTTACACTTACACTGTCGCTAGAACTAATATTAGAACTAGAATCAATTGGGTTTAGCCGTCTTTAGAGACGTGCGGCTAAACCCAAATGATTCTAGTTCTAGGTATAGTGTCAGTTCTAGTTTTACACTTGCACTGTCACTAGAACTAACATTAGAACTAGAAACATTTGGGTTTAGCCGTACGTGTCGTAAGACGGCTAAACCCGAATGATTCTAGTTCTAGGTCTAGTGTTAGTTCTAGTTTTATATTAGTACTGTTACTATATAGAACTAACACTATACCTAAAACTAGAATCATTTGGGTTTAGCTGCACGTCTATAAAGACGGCTAAACCCAATTGATTCTAGTTCTAGGTATAGTGTTAGTTCTAGTTTTACACTTGCACTGTCACTAGAACTAGAAACATTTGAGTTTGATTCTAGTTCTTGGTCCAGCGCTGCATAACAATTAAAATTAGAACTAACACTATACTTATAGGAAAACTAGCATATAGTATTTAGTAGCGATATATATTTTTTTCCGCCCGGCGTGTCTGTATGGGGAGAGTAATATGTTTTCAAAAAGGTTGCCCCAGCGTGCCAAGGTTTGCCAAGGAAAAATGTACAAACATGTGCTATATCTATAGATAAAAGTAGATATATTCGCTTTGAATCAAAAATAAATAAATTAATAATTGCCTCTAGACTGTATATTTTAAAAAATTTTACAAAAATTGATGACAATACGACCTTGCATCAACGACCCACCTTATTAATATTATTATTATTAGTCTTTTAGAAAGCGGTATATTTTCGGTTATCTTTTAGGGATTTCTTGCTCGAGTATCTTCGCTTATTTCTATAGCTTGAGTGTACTCTACGCATTTTCACTAAATCAGCGTCGCTTCCGGTCAATTTCCTTTTACTGGACGCTCCCATTTTATCATTACCTTTTTTATTAACACCTTTTTTCTCATTCCAATAACTGTAATATTGGGCATAAGCCAAATAAATCCAAAAAACTAATCCCACGCATCTGCATACGGATAAAGGTGCTCTTCCCTCGTATGGCATAATTCAAATTTTCGAATCACCAAAAGACATTTGATATTGACAGTTGTTGGCACATGACATTGCGTACGGCATACTTTGTTCAATGTTACAAAACGGGACAATTAATTTTCCGATCGTTTTTACCGTCTCCATCACCTCTTGTATTTGTGATCGCGAATTTGCCGCCAACTAATAACTGGTTGGAGCAAAAATTCGTCTTCATTGTCACTGTAACTATCCTCTGTTGACGATATTGACGGCGGATCTTTTGGAAGGTTGATCCAATTATGCTAAACAATAACATACTTAAAAAATAAAGCACAGTGAGAAAAGAGTAGCAACAAACCAAAGAATTCCTATTTTTACGTTTTTCCCTACGTCTTTGATCTTGAACACTTTCGTAATATTTTCTTCTATTTCTACTAAGACTTCGCGAACTAGAACGTAATTTTCTATCTTTTTCGCGCGCCCTTTTATCTTTGCGTTTATCAACGTTATCCTTTTTAGGACTTTTACTTTTCGTTCGTCGTCTTTTCTCTTCGCGCTCAGTTTCGTCGCCACCTTCAATGTCCGAATCGGTTGTTCTTTTAGATACTGGTTTGTATTTAATGCCTTTTCTCGCTTTGTGCGTTGGATCGTGCGATTTTGAGCGTCTCCTATATTTATGCGGCTCTTTCTTATCCGTTTCAGTATCAGTCCCAGACAAATCACTTTTATTACCCTTTCTCCAAGACGAACGTTTTTTAGGTTTTTCTGAGTCCGTTTCGCTAGGTGATCGATCACGTTTTGGTTTGTGAAACCATTTTTTCTTAGGGCTTGGTGATTCGGCACTTTTACTTCTTCTTTTTCTATTTTCCGTATCTGAATCGCTCGGGGAGTGTGAACGAAGTTTTCTTCTTGGTGGTTTATCGTCTGTTTCGCCTTCTGTGGTGCTAGGTGATCGACTTTTTCGTTTGAAAGGGTTTCTTCTTGATCGGCTTGAATCGCTGGGGGAAACATCGCTTGTACTTGGAGTACGACCGCGGCGACCAAGTTTATTTCTTCCAGCTTTTTTATATCCGCTTGGGACATCTTCTGAGTGATCACTCGTTTGCTTTGATGCGTGGGTTCTATCGCCTGCTTTTGAAGTTTCTGTACCTGTATCTTTTGTGCTTTTTCCCTTTTTGGGGACATCATCAAACGCAACATGTTCCCCACTCTTCTTCATAGTCAAAACTCCTCTACTTGTTTTACCTAGTTGCTCATTGTCATCAGGACCTGAAGCTTTTGATTTCTTTTCCTTTTTTTCACTTTTTAAAGCTTTTGGTTGTGGCGAAGGGGAACTTTCATCTGCTCCCAGACCATCAACCGCTTTTTTATCTAACCTACCCTTTTTCTTATCATCATCAGATTTATCCCCCAATCCCTTCTTATCCGGATGTTCATCATCCTTTACCCCAACAGGAACTGGAGGCGCTTTACGTCTTTTTTCTTTAGGCGTTTCCGGCTGCGTTTGACTTGGTTGATCCTTTTGTGGACCTCTCTTATACCAAGTTCGCTCAGCCGGTAATTTATCAACATCCTCTGTGGTACTATCATCAGTAGGTTTACTTGGTGCACGTCGTTTACGAGATTTACGACTTGGTGCATCCGGTAATTTCATATCAGATTTATGCCTTGATTGTTTCTCTCTAGAAACTTTTGGACTTATCAAAGATTTGAGATGTTCTTGCATTTTTGGCCCTATAAGGCCTTCTTTGTAATACTTATCATCTTCAGCAAGAACAGATACATCAACCTCAGGTTGCTCATCAGTTTCATCGTCTTTTTTGTGATGTTTCCGAGGCTTTTCCATTTCTACATCATCAAAAAGCACTGCATGGGATGGTTTTTGAACATCAGCGTCGCGTTTAGCAGGTTTTGTTTTTGGTTCTTTTGGAACCTTATGTTTTGAAGGCTTCTCCTCTTGAGCAAGTGGTTCTCCTTCAACGGGAGGTCTAATATGTTTCTTTCTTGGTTTTATTTCAGGTTTTCCTTCCTCTTTAGGCGATTTTGATCTTGATCGCTTTTCTTTCGGCGATTTTGATCTTTCTTCTTTTGGAGATTTAGATCTTTTTTCTTTCGGCGATCTTGATCGCTTCTCTTTTGGAGATTTAGATCTTTCTTCTTTTGGAGATTTAGATCTTTTTTCTTTCGGCGATTTAGATCGCTTCTCTTTCGGCACCTTTGATTTTTTTCCTTTTCGTAAATTCTTATACCACGCATCATCCGCAGCAATCGCATTCTTTTCATCTGCATCATCGGAGCTACTATAATCCTCCACACTTTTTGCAGCTTTAGGAGATATCTTCTCAATTTGTCCTTCAGAAATTCTATGAACCGGCTTTTTAGACTTCGAAGGAGTCTTCTCCGCTTCTTTATGTTTCTTGTGCTTCTTTTCCCGTTTTTCACCTTCACTTTCACTCGGAACATCTTTTTCTTTTTTCGGTTTCTTTTCCTTCTTCTTTTTATCAATGTGTCCTTCGCTTGTAGTTTTTGCTTCGCGTGGTTTCTTTCGTCTCTTTGCTTCGGGATGTTTAGTATACCAAGATAAATCATCGCTTGAGTCACCCAATTCCGAAGTGGTGGAAACGGCACGTTTTACGGGTGGGCGTTTGTTTTTAGCTTCTTGGATTTCTTCTGATGGTGGTTTTGGTGCTCTTCTTTTCTTGGATGGTTTTGCTTCTGATTTTGTACCATCAGTGTCGGTTGTGGGTTCTTTTTCTTTCTTTGGTTTCTTCTCTTTTACTTTGGGGTTTTTATCCTCACCATCACTTGCCGTACCTTTATCGTGTAACTTCTTTGGTTTTTTAACAGTTTTTTCACCAGAATGAGATTTTTTTGGTTTTTTCCGTTTCATATCAGGATGTTTAAGATACCAAGATAAATCATCATCCGAATCAACCGTTTCACTCTCCTCAGAACGAGTACGTTTCGGCACCCGTTTCTTCTCATCTTGAATTTCATCAGGCGCCCTTTTAATTTCCGATTTTTTATGAACTTTTTCTGGTTTTGGTTCTTTTTCTGCTTTTGGTTCTTTTTCTCCTTTTGGTATTTTTTCTACTTTTGGTATTTTTTCTGCTTTTAATTCTTTTTCTTTCTTCCCTTTCTTCTCTTTATCACTATCACTAGCCGTTTCTTTTTTCCCCTTCTTTTCTTTTGGAGCTTCAGGCATTTTCGGAACCTTTTCCTTCTTCTCCTTTTTCCCAGGTCTCTTTGCCTCGGGATGTTTAAGATACCAAGATAAATCATCATCCGAATCAGCCGTTTCACTTCCTTCTGAATGAACGCGTTTCGGCGCACGTTTCTTCTCATCTTGCACTTCTTCAGGTGCACTTTTAATTTCGGGCTTTGAACGAACCTTCGTTGATTTAGGTTCTTTTTCCTTCTTAACTTTTTTCTCTTTTTCAGTATCACTCGATGTTTCTTTTTCCTTTTTCGGCTTTTTCTCCTTAGGCGTTTTAGGTATTTTCTCCTTTTTTCCAGGTCTCTTTGCCTCTGGGTGTTTAAGATACCAACCCAAATCATCACTTGAATCTAATTCGCTGTCAATGGAAACGTGACGACGTGGTGTCCGTTTAGTTTTCTCCCCTTGAACTTCATCAGGTGCTGATTTTCTTGAATCTGATTTTGGAATTACTTTTTCGGGTTTTGGTTCTTTCTCTTTCTTTGTTGTGTCACTGTCACTTCGAGACTGTTTTTCTTTTTTAGGTTTTTTCTCTTTTTCAGAATCACTTTTTTCGGAATCTTTTTTCGGCTTTTGCTCTTTCTCGCGTATTTTTGAATGAGATCTTTTTGATCTTTTAGGTCTCTTAAATTCGGGATGTCTTCGATACCACGAGTCTGACATATCACTTTCAGAGATGTCACTATCAGAGGCGGTGTGGCTACGAGGACGCTTACTTTTCTCTGATTGGATTTCTTCCTCAGCAGCTTTTCTGCGTTCTGGTTTCTTAATTTCTTTTGGCGCCTTTTCCTTCTTCACTGCAGTATCAACAGGCGATTTTTCTGATTTCGCCGTTTTGCTTGAATCTTCAAGCGGTTTTGATTTTTTCTCCTTTGGCACCTTCTCTTTGTGCTCTCTCTTCCTTGGTCTTTTAAACTCCGGATGTCTCCTATACCAAGATGAATCATGACTCGAATCACTGTCAGAGGAAGTTTCATGAGTACGAGCACGTTTAGGCTTTACAGCTTCAATTTCACTATAACTTTTTGGTAATTTTTTGCCATCACCAATTTTATCTTTTGGAGCCTCCTTCACTTTTTCTGGTTTAAGTACCGGGATTTTAGAGGGTTTCGCCGTCTTGACCGGTTCTTTCCGTTCTTTAATAGGGCCTGTTCTAGGCGGTTTAGATTCTTTCGAAGACTTCTTATATAACGGCTCACTCCTAGTTTGTGGCAACTCTTCTTTTGTAGACGAAGCAGCTTCAACAACACCATCCGTAGTTGGATGAGTAATTTGCTTACTTCGTTGCTCATCTATTTGCTTTGGTGCCAAAATTGTTTTTACAGATTTTGATTCCACATCCTGTACAATTCAAAAAAAATTTTTTTTAAATTATTTAATAAGCAAAAACATTTTATTACTTTTGCTGGTAATGATTTAGACACTGGTTTCTCTTTAGCCACTGGTTTTTCTTTAGGTTTCTCTTCAACCGCTTCCAATGGTACCGATTTAGAAGCATCACTAGTTGTTGTAGCTGCGCTTTTAACTTCCTTCGATTTCTTTTCCTTATAAAATAAGAAAATTTGATGGGATCGCATTTAAATAAAATAAATAATTACTACCGTGCTTTTCGGTTTTGACATAGGAATTTTAGACGGTGCTTTAACTGGTTTTTCAGTTTCCGTCGTTGCACTTTTCACGGGTTTCTCCTTCTTTGGTTTTGCTACAAAATCAGAGGCAACCTGAGAAACCTCATCGCGAGGTTTCGCAACGGGAGTTGTTGTTGCAGCACTTTTAGTTTCTTTCTTTTCAGGTTCTAGATGTGCTGATGTAATTGCACTTTTCGTTTCGGGTGTCTTTTTATCCTTTAATTTCAAAAATATATTTAAGTATAAAGACATACTTAAAAATAAAGTAATATACCTTTTCGGCTTTTGCTTTTGACTCAGTTTCTACATGTTTAATTGGAGGGGGTTTCGGAGTTTCATGAGTTGTTGTAGTTGCACTCTTCTTCTCCGGCATCGCCTCTTTTTTAGGTTCATCCTTAGCAATTGGTTTTTGCTCATGAGTTGCCGTTGTTGCACTCTTTTTCTCCGGCATCACCTCCTTTTTAGGTTCATCCTTAACAATTGGTTTTTGCTCATGAGTCGTCGTTGTTGCACTCTTTTTCTCCGGCATCACCTCCTTTTTAGGCTCCTCCTTAACAATTGGTTTTTGCTCAGGAGTCGTCGTTGTTGCACTCTTCTTCTCCGGCATTACCTGTTTTTTAGGCTCCTCCTTAACAATTGGTTTTTGCTCATGAGTCGTCGTTGTTGCACTCTTCTTCTCCGGCATTACCTGTTTTTTAGGCTCCTCCTTAACAATTGGTTTTTGCTCATGAGTCGTCGTCGTTGCACTCTTTTTTTCCGGCATCACCTCCTTTTTAGGCTCCTCCTTAACGATTGGCTTTTCCTTCGGTGGTTCAACTTTAGGTTTCGGTGTGATAGTCTGAGGTGTTACTTTAGGAGGTTCCTCTTTGACAACTTGCTTATGTGGTACTGGAACTGCAGGAGGTGCAACCGGAGTTGCAACAGCTGCAGTTTCAGCAGATTTCTTTTCCTACAAAAATTACCGATCATTCTGACACTCCAACAATTAAAACTAAAGTAAGATTTAGTCAAATTTATCATTAACCTTTAAATCAGGTGGTGTTTTCTTAACTTCTGGTTGTGCAGAAACTTTTGATATTGAAGAAGAGGGTTTAGGTACCTACAATAAACTTTCTTAGCCACAAAAACTCAAATAAAACAAAAATGATAACCTGATGCGTTTCTTTTGGTTTCTCCGCTTTTTCTTCTTTTTTCGGCGTAATCGGTTCCGATTTAACCACTCTAGGTTCTTGAGCTGGTGATGGAGCTAATTTAATCGGTGGCAAGTCCTTTGCTTTTGCAGGTGTTAATATTTCATCGGAAGCTTTTGTAGTGGCGATATCTTTAGGTCTAAAGTCCGATGCAGTTTGCGCAACCTCATCTTTACCTTTCTTTTTGGGTTCTGATTTAAGAGTGGGTAACTCCCCACTTGGTACCTTACCCATCGGGACTTTTTGTCGTGGTGCAGCCACAGTACCAGGAGTAGGTGCGTGTTCTTCACTTACCGGGACGCTATGTGGCGTTGGACCTTTTGCTGCTTCCTCAGCGAATTTGATTTTGCTAGGGGGTTTATCACCTTTTCGAATTGATTGGGTGGGAGATGGTGGTGCGTTTAATTGTGCTTTTCCTTCAAGTTTCTATCAAATAATTTAATCTAAGTAAAAGATTAAAATCTTAATTAAAAAATTAACCTGAGTTGGAGCAGGTTTCGGTGGTTGTGAAGCAGGTTTTGGTGGTTGTGAAGCAGGTTTTGGTGGTGATGGGGCAAGTTTCGGTGGATGAGGAGCTTGTTCCTTCCTTATAGGAGGCATTATTGTAGCTTTATCTTTAGCAGCAAAAGGAGCTTGAGTCCCTTTATCAAACGATCCTCTCGGGCTCGATCTTTTCCCTGCCACAGCTCCAAAATCAGATGGTCGCCTTAATTTCGTTCCTGATTCACCTCTTCGCCTCGGTGGTCTTCGTTGTGGCTTCCGCCCATCCTCGCTACCATAACCTGAACTATCTTGATCTTGATCTTCGTCATCGGATGGACCTTCACCTTCTTGCATTCGTGTCCCTCTTGCGCGGACACCTTTCTTTCTGACACTTTTCGGTTTAGGTCTCCTTCGCGTAATCGGCATCCCGTTAGGGTCGATCTCATCGATGTCTTCGTACGAAGCCATGTCCTCGTTCCAAAAATTAAAGTATTGCATGATCGCGAAAGTTGACCACACGAAAATGGCCAAACATTTTTCTACTGATAGTTGGCGATTGGCCGCACTCTCCATGGAACAGTCTTCACACTGAAAATTTTGAGCGGAATTTTCCGCATACCTTACAACAAGTTTTTACATGCCCATGTTGAAGAAAGGCATGTGTGTCTAAAATTCTATTTTGTTTATTTTTTGACGTTCAAGTTGCTTTGGTGACTAATTGATTGAATTAAAAATGCAGGTTTTGATCACAAATTTATTTATTACATTCCGAGACATAAAGCTCAATTTGAATTTAGTATTATTTTAGAGGTAATTGGGAGCTAGGCCGGGTTTAGCAGCCAATTACTTCGAAAATTAATTAATCTCTTAGATGTGTTATGATGACGCAGCCATGATCATTCAATAACAAATCGTAGAAATTCTACTTTTGCAACAATCGAGCTTTTTTGAGCGACATTTGTTTTTATTAATTTTTATAATATGTTTGACGGGACGTACTGGACACTTTTAACTCTAGCTTTGGACCCACTTAACGTTTTTAACGGACCTGTTTTTTGTATGGAATCTCTGCGCACTTTAGTTCCCACCATAACCACTTTCTCCACTTCTGAGGGTTGTGATATTAAATCGTTCTCTTTGTGTTTATCTCTTTGACCGTTCCAAAACCAGTAATACTGCACAAAAGCCAAATACGTCCAAATGATAATAATCGATGAACGTACTACGCTTAATTCAGACATAAGAATTCATTTCATGTTGATTTTAAAGCATTTTTTTGATTTAAATTCACAGAAAATTTTGATAGATTTTTTTTGTTGTGACTTGTTGTGACTGTTTGTGACAATTGTGAAGTTTGAGGGTTATAGTATAGTAAACACCCCCTCCATCGGTCTCTACACAACCATTTTTCATAGTCGCGGACTATCAAGTTTTAAACTTTACCTCGTCTCTTAGAAATATATTTATGATGTAACTTTTCCCGACAACTGAATAAGAAGAAATTTCCCCCAGAGCCCAGCTTCCTGCCGAGGGCGGCATCTTATCTCGCCACGGAACGAGAAAAGGAATATTCTGTATATACGTATATATGTGACAACCGGCCCGGAGAACCCCCCGCGTTTCGTATTTTCGTATACGAATGTATCTGGTGGTAAGACGTTAGATAACCACGACGGTCGTTGCTACGGTAACAGAAAACGGATGTCTTCTAAATCACACCCCTCGCACTATACAAACGGTATTTTTGAGTCAATAGAGATGGCTTTCGATTCAATAATTGTGGGTCGAATTCGTAGTGAGGGTGACCGATATATAAACGTCCGAAATTGACGGGAGGGTGTTGGAAGTTTGGCCAATCATCGATCGGAAACGGCGGAGCCATCGCCCAATTTCGGTAATAGGATGTCTGAAAATGATGTATTGTGCCTCCACGAGGGTGGCGGTGACCCCCCGAGCGGCGGCTTCTTTGCCCGATCGGCGGAAATAATGTCAAAATATGAAGGCTTGTGCACTTCGTTTGATGTCTCCTACCTCAAAGGAAATAACAGAAGAAGAAAAAGGACAGCTCGAAAGGTCGCATTGACAATCCTAGGGTTGTTAAAAAATACGTATGCGTGCTGTCACGACCGTACAATGTTTCCTACCTTCTTTCTATTCACGACATCCCCTTCCTTTTGTTACCAAAGGAATCAGGAAGCACAAAATAATACAAAAATATATCGAAGCAAATTAACGAAGTATAAGATTAAATATCTTTGCGTCAAAGAAGACAATATTTTTTTTTATATTAAGAAAAATGTATGATTGTATGACCTGGTGAAGATATCACAATTATTAGTTATAAAACCGGTTTTATATGATATTGTAATAGTTATTTATATTACAAGTGGGCTAAAAACATAATTACTGTACGAGTGCGAAGAATTGCACGACGAGGTCGTAGACCGAGTCGTGTAATCACACGAGTACTGTAATTATGCTTTAGCCCACGTGTGATATACAGCATTTTATCTACGACTGCTAAAAATTCCTAAAAAATCAATTTCTTTAAAAAAGTCTATTTGACATTTATAAAAATATTTTGAAATGATTGTTGACGATTTTGAATAGTCAGTTTCAACAACATGTTTACTTATCTGGAATAAGTGTTTCGAAATGTAAAAACAACAATTTTGTTTCTCTGTAAGTAGACAGCACTTTTTCTTTTGTATTGTTGCTCGTTTCAATAAATTAAGTCTGTTCTGATTAGGCTAAAAATGCGTTACGTAATGAAACCAGTGCGGTAATGAACTTCATTACGTAACTCAAATCACCTCAAATGAGTGCGGTAATGATGAGTTATCCAAGCAGTCGTAGATAAATAAATATTATTGAAATGCCTCAATATGTATTAATATATTTATATTAAATATTTGTGAAAAATTTATAAATGTTTTGTAAATTTCTGATTGAGTCCAACCACTGTTTATTAATTCTTTGTAGTTTACTCACAATCATATAAATTGATTTAACGAAATTTACGTTCCGAAAACAACTTTGTGACATTGTCTATGTCACAAAAAATGTAACTCATTGTCAGAAAATAATTTATGCATTCTTTTTAGGAGCATTCCCCTGACGATGAATATGATAGTGGAGAACTTCAAGGCTTTTATAGGAGATGAAAATTAGGTAAGTTAATCCCAAAATTAGCGTATTTTAGTGTTATGTAGGGTTTTCATGTGTTTGAAATACATAGAATTTCTGATAACTACTACCTTGAGCAGAATGTTCTTGACAAACCAGTAACATTCCACAAATAATCTAGTGATAAACTTGTAAATTATCCAGCTACTAATCTTATTCCAAGTGTTCCCTGCTCTCTATCCCACCACAGATCTTCTTATCTATTTATCCTTAAAATTTAAAAAACTTCTCAAATACACTTTTTTATTCCATTATCAACGTTGGATGGTTTATACTCATCGTGATGAACGGTGGTGAAATCGCGATGCCAGGAAGACTCGAACGGAATTACTGACATATCATATATGAGAAAGAGTTAGGCTGATAAATCCCCAAGTCGCTGTGTAAACCAATAGATTAATCGACCAATACTGTCGATTTTTGGACAAAACATTGCTTTCTGATGATATTGAAGAGTTCAAAAGAATGATTTATGGGATCAATATCATATTTATCTCTTCACCCAAAGAATAGTTGTTGTATGACTTATACATGATTCTCTTAGACGCCGCAATGGTAGGAAAGATCATGAAGCATCGAAACATGAATTTTGCTTTATACCGGGAATTTCTTATAACTCGCAATAAAATGCAATATAGCTTAATAGTACAGGCATTGGGTAATTTGCTTGGAAAAAGAGACTTAGAACTAGAAACTTTCTAAGATTGTAGTTCTAGGTGTTGCGGTAGTTCTAGAGATAGAGTTAGTGTAAAACTAGAACTAACACTAGACATAGAACTAGAAACATTCGGATTTAGCCGCACGTCTCTAAAGACGGCTAAACCCGAATGATTCTAGTTCTAAGTTTTGTGTTAGTTCTAGTGACAGTGCTAGTATAAAACTAGAACTAACACTAGACCAAGAACTAGAAAGTATCGGGTTTAGCCATGCGTCTTCAGACTGACAAAGAATTGAATTTCCTTCAAAATGAGTCCAAACTCGACTATTTTATCTTGTTTGGTTCACGAGGTATTCGAATTTTAATGTTGGATTATTATCAAAGATGGCGGATTATTACCATTTAATTTTTTATCACAAATTATTAATTTCATTAAAAGTTTTTGCATTCGATTTTAAATTAAAATCAATTTCGTTTTAATTTATAATGATTCAAACAAACAATTTTTTATTTTGAATTATTAAGGAAAAGATAATAAAAAATAATAAAAAGTTGGGTTGGGTTAATGTTTATTATGATTGGTTTAGAATTAAATTTCCTTCAGAATGAGTACAAACTCGATTATTTCATCATGTTTTGTTCTCGAGATATTCGAATTTTAAAATTTTATTATTATCAAACATGGCGGATTATTACCATAAATTCTTTTTTCATAACTTTTTTGATTTTTAATATAAATACATCGTGTTTGGTATCAAATTAACGGAAATTTAAAATCCTACTAATGCGATCTATGATACATTTGATAATTAATTAATTATGCAGTATAGAGGTGACAATAATAATAATTTATAATAATAATTCTAGTTCTAGGTACATTAGACCTAGAACTACAATGTTTCGGGTTTCGCCGTGCATCTTCAGACTGATATTGAATTAAATTTCCTTCAAAATGAGTCCAAACTCGACTATTTTATCTTGTTTGGTTCTCGAGATATTCGAATTTTAAGGTTTAATTATTATCAAAGATGGCGGATTATTACCATTCAATTTTTTATCACAAATTATTAATTTCATTAAAAGTTTTTGAATTCGATTTTAAATTAAAATCAATTTCGTCTTAATTTATAATGATTCAAAGAATTTTTTTATTTTCGATTATTGAAAAAAAGATAATAAATAATAATAAAAAGTTGGGTTGGGATAAAATTTGATTAATTTGGAATTTGAATTTCCTTCAAAATGCGCACAAACTCGATTATTTCGTCTTGTTTTGTTCTCGAGATATTCGAATTTTAAAGTTTTGTTATTATCAAAGATGGCGGATTATTACCATTAATTCTTTTTTCCTAACTTTTTTGTTTTTTAATATAAATATATCGTGTTTGGTATCAAATTAAAGGAAATTTAAAATCCTACTAATCCGATCTATGATAAATTTGATAATTAACTAATTATGTAGTATAGAGGTGATAATAATACCAAATGTTTCTAGTTCTAGGTCTAGTGTTAGTTCTAGTTTTACCTAGCACTGTTGCTATGTAGAATACCAAGAACTAGAATCATTTGGGTATAGCCGCACCTCTCTAAAGACGCCTGATGAACCCAAATGATTCTAGTTCTAGATATAGTGTTAGTTCTAATTTTACACTTACACTGCCACTAAACTTTTAACATTAGAACTAGAAACATTTGAGTTTAGCAGTACGTCTCTTAAGATGGCTAAATCCAAATGATTCCAGTTCTTGGTCTAGCGCTGCATAATAACAATTTAAACAAGAACTAATACTAGACCTAGTACTAATTGGGTGGAATAGTTTCGAAAAATTTTAATTTTGCACGCGATTTATTCCTTGTTATAAAATGCCTTCAACTCCAGCAGTGCATTTGGGTAAAAATTGTATTCCTCGCATACTAAGAAAATCTCTCGTATATACGTTCACATGGAATAGAAATAGGAGGGATCTCTTGAAGAGGGATTTTCCAGGGTAGGAATAGAAAGAACCCGAGGGAGGTTGCGGGAGGGGCGGATGGAAGAGTAGATGATGTATTGGCAGCCCCGCGAGACACTCTCTTAGAAACGGGACAGGAAAATTGAATTTAAATTCATGAAAACTGGAAGTTGCAAAGTCAGGAAAGGTGGATAGTTTTCTGTAGCTGGTTCGTTTTTTAAAATTAATTTCAAAAACAATAATTTCCGCGGATTCTTGTTTATCTAGGAAAATCCGTACTCAATTCGACGTACCAAGAAGCAACCAAGAGGGAAAATCGAACGGGCTTTCGCGTAAAATGAAATTTCCTGTGCGATCCAAGTAGGATATTGCATTCGGCGTACGTTATACACGCGGACCGGGATATGGCGGCTTCGCAGGATTGCCATCAGTCATGAGTGTTTCCCTCTTTCTCCCCCAGTAGAGGCAATTTCTGACAACGTGTGCATGCATACAGACGATTCGAGACTCAAATATATAAAATGCAAGGGGGTGGGAGCAAGAAACCGCCCTAAACCGCCTTAAACCGCCCGCGCCGTTCGAATTTCCTAATAATAATGGTAGAAAATGTATTTATGGAACAATACGAGATAAGCTCTTCTTGAATCCCGAGGGAGCATTTCGAACGAAACGGCTTTCAACGGGATGTTTAACTAATAGTTTCGTCAATCGATCTGTCATCCGCAGATTTTTCCCCGATTAACCTTCGTATTTTTACCCCGGCTGAAAAAGGTGGAGGATCAATACTCCACATATGTAATAAATTACATAGTGTTCTCTGCGTAAAAGGAGAATACCGCGTACTCGGGAGGATCTTGGAGAGGATGTTCGTCCAGACAAAAACATCCTAACCGATATTTTCTTGGCAGAAACCCGCCACGGGAGATAACATGGAATATATGAAAATTGGTTGAATCCTTGGGAGCGCAATATTTCAATCTCCTTTTTAGTCCCGACGTTTCCTGTTTGGTCGTCCTAGTAGCGCTGGCAACGGCAACGGGAGAGACGCCGGAGCCACACCATCGGGAATTCGTAGGAGGAAAAGGAGGAAAAAATAACACACACATAACGAATATACGGTTTCTGGAGAAAAAGAGCTTGCTCGGCGCGGGATAGTGAAAGGATCAAATCCTGCATCAAAGAGAATCCGCGTACATGTACAAGAGCTTTGCGCGTAACGAAATTGTGCCCGGACTTCAAGGAAGAACCAAGACCGCACGCGTCACATATGCACGGGAGTGGCACGATGAATATTTGATGGCGGAGCTTTTTCGATGATGAGCCACGACCTTTTTTTTTGATAGAAAACGATACAAAGTTCCATTTTGGGTTGCTTGAATCTGAAACCGTATATATCCCCTCCTTCTTTTCTATCTCGCGGGGTCGGAGACATCCACACGATACAAAATGAAATTCCCCTTGCTCGATGCATATCCAGGCGAACGCAAAATTGAAGTCCATAGGGGTGGGTGGATTCCCCACACCCTTCTCCCCATACTCATTCTCCCATATCCTTATCCCACGTGTAGACGACACTCGCACACAAAAAAAAAGGAGCGGACGCCAACGAATTTGTAATAGTCGGAAAAAAATATGAAAAATACTCGAATAGAAAATTTCAATTCTTCACGTACCCCTTCTACGTCAAGTCGCATCGACCTCCCCACACGTTCAAGCCCCCTAAATGAAGTGTCACAAATATTAAGGGGGCTTTATTTTTATACCGCATAAAGCAATCATTTTTCTTCTTAAAGGTGACTTGAAATCCATTTTTCTATGTGGATTAATTTGTACCGATAGTATTCCCTAACTATTTTTAACCACCTTTTCTAATAAGCGGTTACCCTCGCTATTGTTATATTCACCCTTAAATCTCTTTTGACGTATGACGAATGATCTGAATGGAGATAGAAGATCGCGCCAATGTATCACTTGTCATTTTAGTGATTTTAAATTTTATTTCAATTCTCAATTCTTTATTTGGTACTTAATTAGTTCTTTGTTATTTATTAGAAAAAATATGTAGAGAAATTTATGTTTTAATCTTAGATATACAGACTTATACAGTGAATTTCACTTAAAATGCGATATACAAAAACATATTTCCATAGCAAAATATATTACCTACTTACTTTGTCCAACATAAAATGCAACATGTCTAAATGTTTCTAGTTCTAGGTCTAATGTTATATCTAGTAACACTGGTAGGTAGCGCTAGTTAACATAAGATATCGCTATGTTGCATATTTTTATTGAAGTAAAACTAGAACTAACACTTGACCTAGAACTAGAATCATTCGGGTTTAGCAGTCTTGAGAGACGTTTCTAGTTCTAGGTCTAGTGTTTGTTCTAGTTCTACATTAGCAGTATCACTAGAACTAATATTAAACCTAGAATAGAATCATTTGGTTTTAATTTCAAGTCAAATTCAAAAATTTTTAATTAAAATCGCTTAATTTATAATTATTATCATCTCTATACTGCATAATTAATTATCAAATTTATTATAGATTAGTAGGATTTTAAATTTCCTTTAATTTGATACTAAACACGATATATTTATATTAAAAAACAAAAAAGTTATGGCAAAAGAATTAATGGTAATAATCCGCCATCTTTGGTAATAATCAAATTTTAAAATTCGAATATGTCGAGAACTAAACATGATGCAATAATCGAGTTTGTACTCATTTTGAAGGAAATTTAATTCAAAATCAATCAAGATAAACTTTATTCCAACCCAACTTTTTATTATTTTTTATTATCTTTTTTTCAATAAGCCAAAATAAAAAAAATTGTTTATTTGAATCATTATAAATTAAAACGAAATAGATTTTAATTTACAATCGAATTCGAAAACTTTTAATTGAATTAGAAAGTTGTGATAAAAAATTAAATGGTAATAATCCGCCATCTTTGATAACAATCAAACTTTAAAATTCGAATATCCCGAGAACTAAACATGATGAAATAATCGAGTTTGTACTCATTTTGAAGGAAATTTAATTCTAAATCAATCAAGATAAACTTTATCCCAACCCAACTTTTTATTATTTTTTATTATCTTTTTCTCAATAAGCGAAAATAAAAAAAACTATTTGTTTAAATCATTATAAATTAAAAGGAAATTGATTTTAATCTAAAAATTTTTAATTAAATTAAAAAGTTGTGATCAAAAATTGAATCGTAATAAGTCGCCATCTTTGATAATAATCAAATTTTAAAATTCGAATATCTCGAGAACTAAATATGATGAAATAATCGAGTTTGTACTCATTTTGAAGGAAATTTAATTCTAAATCAATCAAAATAAACTGTATCCCAACCCAAGTTTTTATTATTTTTTATTACCTTTTTCTCAATAACCGAAAATAAAAAAAATTGTTTGAATCATTATAAATTAAGACGAAATTGATTCTAATTTAAAATCGAATTCAAAAACTTTTAATTAAATTAAAAAGTTGTGATCAAAAATTAAATGGTAATAATCCGCCATCTTTGATAACAATTAAACCTTAAAATTCGAATATCTCGAGAACCAAACAAGATAAAATAGTCGAGTTTGGACTCATTTTGAAGGAAATTTAGTTCTGTATCAGTCTGAAGATGCACGGCGAAACCCGAAACATTGTAGTTCTAGGTCTAGTGTTAGTTCTAGCTTTAATTGTTATGCAGCGTTAGACCAAGAACTAGAATCATTCGGGTTTAGCCGTCTTAAAAGACGTACGGCTATACCCAAATGTTTGTAGGTCTAATGTTAGTTCTAGTGCAAGTGCAAAACTAGAACTAACACTATACCTAGAACTAGAATCATTTGGGTTTAGCAGTCTTTAGAGACGTGCGGCTAAACCTAAATGATTCTAGTTCTAGGTAAAGTGTTAGTTCTAGTGATAGTACTAGTGTAATTTAAAAAGAGTATCTCGCGAGGCTGCCAATACATCATCTACTCTTCCATCCGCTCCTCTCGTAACCTCTCACGGGTTCTTTCTATTTCTACTTCAAGAGATCCCTCCTATTTCTATTCCATGTGAAACTTATATGCGAGAAATTTTCTTAGTATGGAAGGAATACAATTTTTACCCAAATGCAGTGCTGAAGTTGAAGGCATTTTATAACAAGGAATAAATCGCGCGCAAAATTAAAATTTTTCGAAACTATTCCACCCAATTGACAGTCTCGGGTAATAACTCCCAAGGGTAAAAGCATGTGGGAAACAGCTAATAACGTTTAATGGCCGAGGCCGTAAAAACCAAACGCGGGGAGTTTTGATCGAGTAAACGGCGCGGAAGAAAACTCTCGTTTTAGGCAATTTACATCTTGGTACAAATTGCACCCCAATTTCACAAATTTAATCATATGCCATGTACAAAACGTTTTTTTTTTTGATTACTTACCCGTCCGTTGATGCGTCGAAAGGGTTCTGTAACAATAAAAAAAGACTTTTTAATAAAACAAATTTTTATTGCGCAATAAACAATAATTTCAACCATAAGAATTTAATATCCGATAATATCATCACGCATAGAGAGAGAGTGGAATTCCGACGAAAAGAGTCTTGGTAGAATCGGGTTACGGCATTTAAGAAGAATCTCTTTGACCAGACCGCGTATAAAATCGAGTAAGTCGACCGCGAAAATCTTAATAAAATATTAAAAAAACCCCAGTTTTTCCCAGCACGTACACACCACCAAATTATTTTATTAGCCGCGTGTGTGCCGTACGTGTGGTTCGAAATTTCGCGGAGGAGAAATCGCATTATTAATCTCCGCGACCTCAAATCCAACCGATCCGATCGGACGGGCCCCCCAAAGTGTTCCCCCCATTTCGCCGTTTCCTCTCTTTCTTTCCACTCTCGAATCAGGTAATTTGATTTCGATCACCGCGAGGGGAATTGTAAATATTGTTCAGGACGTGATTTCCATGCGCGAGAGACCGGTCTAAAAAAGAGTTAGAATTTATTTAAGAAAGTCAATCGCACTAAATGAATAAAACGACATCTAAATCTAAATGGAAATCAAAACGTTTGTGAATCCGGTTCCAATTAACCGAAAGTAAACTTAACAATGAACCCCCAATCGATCAGAAACGTCTAGTAGGACCACCTCGTTTACCGCTGGGTCTAATCCTAAAATTGGAGCTTACCTCACCCTGAGGGGCCCCTAACAACGTCTGTCAAGACCTGTCAACTGTCGATTCGCCGACCTGGGTCCCCGGAATTTGCATAAAGGTGACTCGGGGGTAATTGTATCGCGGGGTTCGAACGCATTAACATGACAATTATTCGACAAACAACGTTGAAGGGTTGTTCGTAACATTCGTTGTTCCGTATGCAAATCGTTCAATGCTCTTGGTCTCCTTTTTTTTTTTAATTTAAAGTCCCACCGGGCCTGGGTAGGTTAATTTGCATACGGCCGATGACGGTTACCTGAATCCAAAACTCGTGTAGACCGTGTAGTATGGGGTAGGTACTATTTGTCGCGCAGATCCGTTCGAATTGGTACTCCACGTGGTGGTTACGTGAAACGTTTATCAAACATTTGATTGGAATACATGAATGTTAAACAGGAATCGGACGTATTCCGTGCCCACGAGAACTTTTCACCCGATAAATTTTAAAATGGAAAGTTTCTCCTCCAAAAACAGCGATACATTATCCGTTGACAATCAATTATTCAACTCGATATACAATTTTGCACCAGTTTGTGATAAACGTCGCTCACACAACTACAGTGTGTTTATTAATTATCGGACCCGAAGTATGCAACCAATATCACAGTACGCGTATTGCAATACGCGTACTGTGATGTTGGTTGCATAGTTCGGGCCCGCTAATTAATTAACATAAACGTTAACGACAAAGTATGCAACCAATATTACACAGGTCACGTGGGTTACGATAATTAATTAACACTGTGTAGAATTTTAATGATACATTTAAAAAAAATTGTTCATAAATTAAAACTTTAACGTGAGAATTGATTTTTTTAAAAAAGAAATCGAAAGTAATACTAACCCAAGTTGGAGTTGAGTTAAAAAAAAATGTAATGGAGAGAAGTGAGACGGGAATTGGGAGAGTAGGTCAGGGTCTAGTTTACACTCCGGGTCTCTTTAATTTTAAAACGGGAAACTCATCTCTTAAGAACACCCTCTACCCTGTCTCTCTCCGTGTACCAAACCCCGTTGGAGCGACGGAGAGAAAACATCCGTCGGCGCAAACTTAAAAGAGAAGAAGAAGAAGTGAATGAGAAAGGACGGCATATATGAATTGAAACTTGGAAAGACAGAGAGACGAAACGAGGGGGGTTTCGCACAAGATTCATTCAGGAAAAGACCTCCGCTAACGAACTTACTACGAGGAACCTTCAGCGGTATTTCATTTCTTTGGGGTTGGTCCGGGATTATCAAATTAGAACGGGAAAATTTTTAAGTTTAACATTTTTATGATTGATTTCAACTTTTCTTACTTTATGGATTTTTTTTTTTTCAGATCGTATTGGAAAAATATATACACTCCCCTTGTTCATACATGTAACACACACGTATATCCCACCCACGTATAGGGCAAAAGCCCTTAGTTCCCGAGGGGTTGGCCCTGAAAGGAGGGGATAGAAGTGTTTCCATAGTAACCAGCTCCAGTTTAGTAGGCGGCCATACCGATCATCGTAATAGCTCTCCATCGATACCGTGTATATTTTGTATTACACAGAATGTTTATTTAAAATTATCGTCAAATTCCTAAATTAATTGAAAATTTTGTTACGAAAGTGCTTACGTTTGTAAAAAAGTTTTATTCGAAAAATTGTTTTTTTTTGTATGGAAACAGATGTGAAGAGACGAGTGTTAAAAAAATTTAAAATATTTTAGTCTCAGTGTACCAACCATCCCGCCACAGGTCTCTCAAAAGACGGCTCAACCCGAATGATTCTAGTTCTAGTAATTGTATATATATATATATATATATAATTATATATACACAGTGTGTTAATTAATTATCGTACCCAACGTCATCATTGCAAATATGCAACCACTACCACAGTGCAATACGCATCATACGTAAATCGCGTATTGCAATAAAAATATTGTGATATTGGTTGCATACTTGCAATGATGACGTCGGGTATGATAATTAATTAACACACTGCACTTCTCCATCCGTGAAGCACTACGCATCAACATAGTATATAGTGTATATATATAGTGCTAGTGCAAAACTAGAACTAACACTAGACCGAGAACTAGAAACATTCGGATTTAGCCACACGTCTCTCAAGACGGCTAAACCCGAATGATTCTAGTTCTAGGTCTTGTGTTAGTTCTAGTGCTAGTATAAAACTAAAACTAACACTAGACCTAGAACTAGAAAGTTTCGGGTTTAGCCGTGCGTCCTCAGAGTTAGTTTTAGTTTTAATTTAATAAAAATATGCAACACAGTGATATCTAATGATATCTAATCAAATAATCTAGAGTTAATACTAGACCTAGAAACATTCAGGTTTACCCGCACGTCTCAGTGAGATCTCATTTTTGAGAGTTATATAATAATTTTTATATCAAATTAAAGCCCAAATCTTCCTCTTACAAAAAATATGAAAGTTATTGTTTTGGCATTAATGAGATTTAGCAGTTTTGAGATTTAAAAAAAAGACAATAAGATTCAAAAAATCGTGAAGATCTCATTTTTGAAAATTATGAAGCTTTAATTCTTTGCGTGACAGACGTTTATTATATATCATTACCACAATCTTTAACGTTAAGAAACTAGATAATAGTTAAAGCAACTTGCAATTCAAATCTTGAATTTGTGCTTTGAGATGATTTTAGCAATCTCATTGATCAGATTGTAGGCGCTTGTACATCAAGGTCTTAATCGTTAATAAAGAAATAAAGTTGTGGCGGAAATGAAAAAAGTTGTGAAAACTTTCGCGAACTCTTTAATAAGTAGGTAAATAATTTAGAGTTTGATTTTGTACTTTTTAAACTGGTTTTTATTTTATATTGACTTTAAGTCTAACTAGTTTCGGGCCTTGGAAAAAATCACATATCAAAGTCGAAAATCGGATTATTAGTTACTAATTTAGTTGTAAAAGTAGTTCCAGTTGTAAAATAAAATTAAGGACGAAGTGTTACAAGTTTAAGAAGGTTCTGAAAAAAAATTTCTCTTTTTTAAGATCTTTTTTCTGTCTCTGAAAATGGCCAAGGGCCGAAACTAGGGAATAATTTAAGAATAGCATTGTGGTTTAAAAATCGATGATTTTTTTTTAATCGATAGGAAATGACCGAAAAAAGGCGTTAATAATAAAAAAAAAGTGCGGAAAAGTGTAGTACTTATCGAAAAATCACTTTAAAGTTTCGATGTGACGTTACATTTTGTGAGGTTAGACTTAAATTCTATATAAAATAAAAACCAGTTTAAAAAGTACAAAATCAAACTCTAAATTATTTACCTACTTCAAAATTGACAACTGGTAGAATGGATTTCAATTATAATTCCTTAATTGGGCTTCACCTAATTGGGTGAATTGCAAACCTTTGTATCATAATCCTTACCGTAGGCAAAGAAATTAGATTGTAGTCAAAATACTAAGTAGGTGATATAATAATAGGTGATGATAAAAGATTGTAGTCGAGGTTGCTTTCAATTGATATGGAAGAGGTTGTGAAAACCATCGCTGACTCATAACTTATTGGGTTGATTGTAGACCCCTGTATATCAAGGACGTAATTTTTAACGTGAAGAAATAGGATTATGGCCAAGGACGCTTGTGATTAAAACTTTGCAACTAAAGTGAAAGAGGTTGCGAAAACTTTCTTTGAAATTTGTTGAGTTGATTGAAGATCTTTGTATACCAATTTCATAATCTTTACCGTAAAGAAATTAGATTGTGGTCATAATATTAAGTAGGTTACCCTTGTATATGAAGGTCACAATCCTTCAGATAAAGAAATAACATTGTGGTCGATGTCGCTTGCCGGTGAAGATTTTCAGTTAACATAAAAGAGGTTGTTAAAATTTTTGGGGCCTTCTTAGGTTGAATATAAACCCTTGTATGTCAAGATCTCAATTCTTAGCGTAATGAAATAAGGTTGTGGCCGAGGTCGCTTGCGGGAAAATGATGTTTAGTCCGTTTCATCGAAATATCATCTAATTGTAAGTTTCCTAGATGTCTATCTAAGTTTTCTCATTATGAAGAAGTACAGATTGTGAAGATTTCAAGGTCGAAATCATTGACGTGTTGGAAAAATAACATAAAGGAAGCTACTTCTTGTCGTTGAAGTAATAAAATCTCGAGATTGTTATGCCGGGTTGATCATTTCCACAAATTTATTTTACCATAGATTTATTTCTACCACACTTTTGATTCAAATTGTCTTCTTGTCTGATTGGTTGTCAATTTTCTGACTTTTTAATTAAGTTTGTGA